CGAGGCTCTTCGATCTTCCTTAGAGCGTATCGTTGCTGCTTCAGGGCCTGGGTTTGGCGATTGGCAGTGGCGGCTTGCCACCTTACCTTTTGCGTATGGCGGGCTTGGTGTTTATTCCGCAGGTGATGTTCGTCATTATGCTTTTCTTGCTTCATGGTTACAATCTGCTGGGTTGCAGACAAAGCTTCTACGACATGCTGGCGTTGTTGACCTTGGTCGAACCTTTGAGGATGCGTTGAGCCTGTTCAATAGAACAGTGGAGTCTGACATTTTAAGTAATCCTAGTGAGATTGCTGCCCCTAGACTCATGAAGAAATTGGCAGATATATATTTCACAAAGGTTACCGATTATGCATAATCCACCTTCTCTTTATCTCTTCGTCAATCAGCATTGTGGAAATCGCAGCAAGGAGATCACACCTCTGCTTGGCTTCGGGCGGTTCCTATTTCGGGGTTGGGTCAGACGATGAACGCAAAGACTTACCGATGTGTGTTATGCTACCGCTTGGGTGTTCCATTGTTCTCTGTCTCGACAACGTGCTCTGCTTGTACTGGGGACTTTTTCGGTGATCACGCGGTGTCGTGTGCTGGTATAGTGGGTATTAAACATTGGCATAATGTTGTGCGGGATACCCTTGTTGATGTTTGTTATCGATCTGGGATTTCAGCTAGAAAGAAGGTTGACATTGGGTTGTGTGGAGGGAACGACGGGGCCTTCAAACTTGCAGATGTGTTACTTTATTATTGGGATTGTGGTCGCGATGTCGGTGTTGACTTGATAGGGTCTTCTCCTTTGACACTGTCTGGGTTATCTGACTTTTTTCCTGGACGGGTTGTGGCTGATGCAGCTCATCGGAAGCAGGTCAAGTACAAATCCAGTTGTTGGGCAATTGGATATGGCTTCCTTCCTTTCTCTTTCTCTACACTTGGGAATTAGAGAAGGAGGCGGTTGCATTGCTAAAGCGGATCCAGAAGTTCTCGAGGACTCAAAACATTGGGGCACGTGATGCTGCTCATATCTTCACTAGAATAGGATTTGTTATAGCTAGAGGAGTGGGGGCCCAAATTGTATCTCGGATTCCCACTAATTTTTTTATAGGTTGTATGTCTTTGTCTTTTTTGAGATAATAATAATAATAATAATAATAATAATAATAATAATAAAAATAAATTAAAAAATAATAATAATAATAACAATAATAATAATAATGGGGGCACACAATAATCATATTATACACATAAGTTTGACGTTACGACTTTTACCGTTGAGAAACTCCCCTGGTTTTAAGATGATATAATCACACGATTCACACTTATGAAATCTTATTGTAGCCTGCATAGCAATTAAAAACAAAGTTCTTTGTTCATCCTGCTTGAGTATTTCATGTTCCAAAAAGTCACGAAACTTCGCCAACTGCTAATATCACTGTCGGTTGATCATCACATGCTTAACATCAATTATTAAATTCCACGAAATCACAAAAGGAAATTATATCATCTATCTGACACACCTAATTGCTTTTTCACTAATTGGATTAACGTTTTTCAACATAAATACATAATTGCCGCACTATTTCGATTACTTTAATAACTTCATAGCATATAATTAATCCTCAAAATCTAATATCATATCACTAATAAATAAAGCCGGACTCGCAGTTAGGTTATGAGACAGCGAAACTTGGCATTTCAGTTTTCGCCAAGTGTCATGCCACGTAGACGACAAATAGGATACTAAATAATCGAATTTTAAATAAATTTTTTTAAGATAAAAATGTTGTATAGAGTTTTATTATCGATACACTATTAATATTTCATATATACAAAATTAATCATAACTTTCAATAAAAATGTAATAATTCAGTTCTATTTCCATCATAAAATTCGTTTTAACAAGGTTCTTTAAAATAAGATTCATTTATAATATATTTTAAATAATAGAGAATTAACAAAAGTAAGTTTTAATCGGTAAAAATACTTTCACTTTAGTAAAAATAATTTAAGTATGATATTGCATGTTTAAATATCCTGCATCATCAAAAGTGATTATATGACCGTATTTAACATTCAAGCCAAAAGATTTATCCTAAAATTCAATAAACAACTTGGGATCGCCCGGGACACAAAATATGTAAAGGGGAGTTTTTTTCCCGAGTTTTTAGAGCGTCACGTAAGATTTTAATTTTTAAAAATTATTAGAGCACCACGCAGGATTAATATTTTTAAAACGCTACAATCGGATTATGCCACGTAAGATTAGTTTTTTTTAAAGCGCTGAGTAGGATTATAATAAAAAAAATAAATACCACGTAGGATTAATATTTTTAAAACGCTACAATAAGATTATGCCACGTAAGATTAGTTTTTTGTAAAACACTACGTAGGAATATAATAATAATTAAAAGGAGGAGTTTTTTCCGAGTTTTTAGAGCGTCACGTAGGATTTTAATTTTTAAAAAATTATTAGAGCGCCTCGCAGGATTAATTTTTTAAAACGCTACAATCGGATTATGCCACGTAAGATTAGTTTTTTTAAAGTGCTACGTAGGATAATAATAAAAAATAAACGCCACGTAGGATTAATATTTTTAAAACGCTACAATAGGATTAAGATTAGTTTTTTTTAAAGCGCTACGTCGGAATATAATAATAAATAAAAATTTATCAGAGCGTCACATAAGAAAATGTTATATTTTAGCCAATGAAAAAAAGAATTGCAATTTATTTTAGATCTAAAATTTTATAATAATTATAAAAATAAAATCAACGCGTTTTTTGTGTGGCTAGTCATATCGTGTGGCGGTTGAGACACACCAAAACACTGACCGAGTAACCTAGATCGTCCGAGTAACCCCTGATCAATTAAGTAACCCTTGACCAACCGAGTAACCCCTGACTAAATAATCCCGACCATACGGTGTGACCAGTCATATATGAAACTTTGTGAAATAAAATATTATCTTATTATATTAGGAATTTTGATCTAAATATGAAAAACAAAATTAATAATTCATTTTATAGTAAAAAATTCTATTAAACAAGCGAATATCACAAAGTTTATCAGATAAATATATATTTAGTAAAATATTTTGTTTCAAAAAATACAAACAAACCGTGCATCGCACGGGCGGCTTCATCTAGTTAAATTCAATTATAATGCCACTAAAACTTTATTTAATAGATAATCCAAAATAGTAATATTAGGGGTCGTTTGGTTCGCATGGGGTAAACGAAATGGAATGATTAAAGAGAATAAAAGAGAATGGAATGAAAAACCTTTCCAAGTAGTATGTTGTTTGTTTTAAAAATAAAAAAAAAGGAATGGAGCCACCAGTCCACCAACACACCACCACCACACAGCCGTACAAACAACTCATTCCTTCAAATTTCTAGCCATCACCCAGCCAGCCCACCACCCAGCCACCACCTAGTCACACTCGCCGCCCCTAGTCGCACCTCCCCCACCCATTGTCGCCGTTCCTCGCCGCCCAAAAACCCCACCCTCCCCCCAAAACCTTCCCCTACCCTCGAAAAACCCTAGAAATCCCTCCTCTTCCCTGTAAAAACCGCCGGCTAGGGTTTCGAGGGTGGCCGACGGTTTTTACCGGGAGGAGGAGAGATTTCTAGGTTTTTTCGAGGGTAGGGGAAGGTTTTCGGGGGGAGGGGAAGGGTTTTTAGGCGGCGAAGAAGGGCGACGAGAGGAAGGTGAGGTGCGGGGTAGCTGGGTGCTGGCTAAGCGATGGGATGGTGGGGTGGTGGTTGGAAAGTTAAAGGAATGAGTTATTTGTGCGGTGGGGGAAGGTTTTTAGGGGAGGGGAGGCTTATCGGTGGCCGGTGATTGGTCGGGGAAGGGGCGGCGATGGCGGTGGAGGTGCAACTGGGTGGTGGGGGTAAGGTTAAAGGGTGGTGTGTGTGTGTGTGGTGGTGGAGGGGTGGCTAAGGAAAGGGAATGGAAAAGTCTAGGGGGTGGGGAATGAATGTAAAGCAAATTAGGATGAACTCAAAAACAAAAAAGGGTAAAGGGAATGATAAATAGTGACAAACAAACAACAACAAAGGGAATGGGGTCTGTTCATTCTCTTTCCCTTTGATTATTAACCCCAACCAAACGGCCCCTTAGTATATCACCAAATGTGGCATGAAAGGCTGGAGCCCAACTCCAAGATTATAACTTGATTATAATGTTTCGAAAACAAAAACCCACGAAAGGTTAATTTCGGCGGCAGATTAAATCCTCTTCAATTGTTGCGCCAAATAAAAAGCATCCTAAATTCAACATATCAAGAATCAGATATTTAAAATTAATAATCATCTTTTAGATTGTTAATAAATAAGCAAATAAAAGGATAAATACTTATCTCAATGTTACGGATTTCGCGCTACCCGATTATTGTAGATACAATAGAGGACTAGAGGCTGAGCTACGGTGCTGATAACGTGTTATAAAATAAAAAGAATAGGTGAGTGATTGGAGAGAGAATAGTTTACTATATTATTCCATTAAATAGGGTATATATATACATATACAATAATTAGGGTTTTCTTAGGAAACACTAAACTCTAGACCTAAAATATTCCAAAGAGTACAAGAATAGAATGAGCATCCACCAATATTTCATAACAAAACCTTAATTCTCACAAAAAAAAAATCCAAATAGGCTTGTAATTTAAGAACGGAGAGAGTGGTAATTTACAAAGTAAAATAAAGTGAAACAAATAGAGAGTAAATCTTAGACCTGATCAAGTTGAGTCTGGCCCGTTGGCCCGACCCGACTTTGGACGGGCTTTGGGCAATTTTTTTCGACCTGACTTTAAAAAAATTTGGACGGGCTTGGAAAATCGATTTTATGCAATTTTAGTTGATTTTTTTGGCCCAGCCCAAAATACCCGAACGGCCCGCCTAATTTAGACAGGTTTGGGCACACATTATCCGGCCCGACCCTTTGAATGGGCAATTTTTTTTTTATCCTTGGCCTGGTCCGACTCGACCATTGATCACCTCTAATAAATCTACACGACTGAACAGTTAACATACAGGCAGGGCGCCAAGCAAGAGCAATCCAGCATCCATCCATCCATCAATGTTCTCTCAACCACAACTGCTTCCTTCTCGTTCCCTCCACAACTCACCTCATTCCAAAGGGTCCGCCTTTCATCAAATGCTTTTCTTTCCAAACCAACTTTTAATTATTATTTCTTCTTTTCTTTAATGGTGTTTTCTTGTTGGCTATTTCTTGTTTCAGTCAACCCTTTGGAATCGCATTTGATATTGATGGAGTTATTCTTCGCGGCGGCACACCCATTGGAGGCTCTCGTCAAGCTCTCCAAAGATTGTACCAGAATGGTATGAAGTATGTTTTTGTTTGTTACTCCCTCGACTATTGATAGTGTAATTTGAACTAATAATGTGACTGATTATATTGGGAAGGAGGGAGTACTTGGTATTTAATATACGAGTAATAAATTTTACTGTTCAATTTTTCAGGTTCTATGAAGGTCCCTTTTCTGTTCTTGACCAATGGTATAATATCTACTGCTTTCTGTTTGGTTTTGTTTTTTTTATTGACAATTTCACTATGTATAATTTGTTCCCTGCATTATTTATCTTTGATATGGTTTTGGGATTTGTGTTTGAATTTGGAAATTGCTGCTCTTTCTGCTGATTAGATTACTAGTTTTTGGAACTAAGTATTTCCCTTAATCAAAAACAAGAATTAATTGTTTTAATCCGTTCGTTTATCTTAGGTTGGAAATAGTATTGTCCATAGTTATGGGGTATGAGTTGAATAATATTAGTCCTTGAAGATTTTTTTTGGGTGCTCAAGGAGCTACAAAGCGGTAGGATGTACTATGGGATTCGATCCTAGGATTTGGGTACTACCCCTAGACCTCAACTAACTAAGCTTGTTGACTTTTGAATTATTAGTCTTTGAAGATGATTGTTGACTACAAAATCTTTTCATTATAATGGGAAAATTGTGTATGTTTGCAATAGTTTGGAAATACTTCTTTTATCTAGATCGTTTAGTCATTTGTTCTTTTTCTGGAATGTCCAAAAGAATGACTACAATTTATGTTAATGGTGGATTGTGATTGGTTTTGTTGAAATGGCCTCTCTTACATCGAGTAATGGAGAGTTGAAATGGCCTCTCTTACATCGAGTAATGGAGAGAAGTTAGGAATCACATACCAATTATTTAATGCCAAATTGCCAATTAGCCAAATTTGTATAAAATTCAACACCCTTGTGCCAAATGAGTATAAAACTTAGCTTCATTAATTTGGTTTAACAAATGTGTATATAACTTAGCTTAGTTTGACAAATAAGTATACAGCTTAGCATTGTTTGACATTTGACCCTACCTATATTTGCAAAGATAGTTAAGCTGTGAATTTTTAACATTCATTCATTAACTAGTTAGGGGAAAATTCTCCCCGTACCTCTCATATTTCCTTTCTTCTTTCTCTTTTGTAAATCATTATTCCTCTCCATTTTTTCTTTCTTCTTTGATCTTAATTTAGATGTGTTGTGAAGGTATTGTCACGTTTTTTGTCCCAATTATATTTTTCTTCTTTTGCGTCTCTCGCTCTCCCCAATTCTAGCCCGTTTTTCTCAAATTACTATTCCTTATAGTATCTAAGCTTCAATCATGTAAATCATTTTAACAAAATATTATGTCCTTCATTTGTATCATCCTATCACCGTATTGTTGTAGACTTGTAGTAGGTTGTAATTTCATTTGTTAAAAGCATAGCTATGCTATTTTATTTTTACCGTTAAATTGGTGAGAATAGAGGGAAATACAGTACAAAGAAAACAATGTGATAAGTGAGGCAACAATATTTAGAGAAAAATGAAATTAAACCTTACATGACCTATCTGATGAGAAATAAGTGTTGTATGTCACACAAATTTAAGTTTTGTACTCGTTTGTCACACGAGCTAAGTTTTGTACTCATTTTTCACACAAAGCTAAGTTTGTACTCCTCTGTCACAGTTGACAATTTTCATAACAATGTGGTAAAGTGATGTTTAGTTTTGTATCAACTGAGTTCATTTGCCTATTACTTGAGGCATATTGGTCAAATTGTGTTAAATCTTCTATTATAAGAAATTGGGACAGATAATGTATAGATATTCTCATAAGGAGCTTTTATGTTATGGAAATTGTAATGCTAATAGAATTGTCTAAGTGAATGCAACACTTGAAGTGAACTGCTAATTTTTATGAGCAGGAGGTGGTGTGCCAGAATCACAACGAGCATTAGAGTTGAGTGAACTTTTAGGCGTGAATATTATGCCTTCTCAGGTAGAATACTTCTATCTTATCAATCATGTTCTGTACAGACTATAAACTTTACTACAATTTTTTCCTCCATCCTTCTGTGACAGCTACTTGCTGATGTGACCTTTGCTAGTTTCCTTTTGTTTTTACGATCACAGATTGTACAAGGTCACTCACTATTTAGGAATCTATTGGGAAGGTAAGCTTCATTTCATTTTATATATTTTAGTTGTCTTTCTTTTCTAGCATTGGCATTTGAATTTATTGTTAGCCTACCCCAAATCATTTTGGGACTAAGGCTTTGTTGTTGCTGTATGCTGGACTTTGTTTTCATCGTTGGATAATTTGTTTTATATATAGATGCTTTAATAGTTAATTTCAGCTAATGTGTCCTGTATCACTATGCCAACCAGTACAAGTGAACTTAACAGAAAAAAGAAACATTATGCATGTGAGAATGTTAATGTGTGGTCTTTGCTCCTCCTATTGTTTTAATTGTTGAACTGAGAAAATAATTGTCATTGTACTTATGAAATGGACTGTATCCTATAAGCCGATAAATTGCCATGATAAACAAACTTTGCTACATATGGCATTCGTTGTGTCCGAATAAGCAAAAGAAAGAGAAAGTATTGTGGAGGATTTTTATTTTCTTCCTGTTGGGGAAATTTAAAATGAATATAAAGTAGATGAGAGATGCTCCAAGGGATTTGTTAACTGCAAAGAAAGAACAGATGGGCCAAAGGAATTTATTTCTGTTTCATTAACTGTGAAGAAAATTAGAACAGAAAAAGAAAAAGAGAAACAGATGTTGCATTTTTAAAAAGGATATTTTGATTAGATATTATCTTTCAGCTTACTAGATCACAGTTAATTTTTTTTTTGAAAACGATGCTCATATTTATTTTTAGCCTTCTTTATTCTTAAAAAGTATCTCTTCATCCACCACAAGGAGTGCATTTGCTCTTTTGTTGTCTGATAAATATCACTTTCCGCTTTGTTTTTTTTTTATGTGTCTTGTATATGTTTTGTGGGAACTTAAAACTAATGTACATGTCTTAAGGGGGAAAATGATATATGATTATCGATCTTTGGTCATCTCAGTGTTTTATTGCTCTCACTGTTTTCCTTAATAACTGTTTCTTCTGTGCACTCTAAATTCAGGATATATCAATAGCTTAATTACTTTGATACGCATGTAGATAACTAAGAATTGTCTAACTCCTCTTTAACTTGTAAACTTGCTATAGTGACTAATCTTTGAATTTCCCTTCCTTTTATTTTGAAACTTTTTTTTCATCAATCTTTCAACTTCAATTGGCGCAGGTATCAGGATGAACTCATTGTCGCTACTGGAAAGGGGGAACCCGCTTTGGTAATGAGTGAGTATGGTTTCAAGTATGTTGTATCTAGAAGTTTCTCCTCTTAGTTCTTTGTCAAGTTCTAGCTTTCATCTTTTGGACTTCCTTTAATTAGTTGCCATTTGCATTTTGCAGTAAAGTGCTCTCTATAGATGAATACGTATCATACTTTAAGGACATTGATCCTGTATCACAATATAAGAACTGGACGACTATGTCCAGAAGTGATCGGAGCAGCACCCTGACGAAGTTGGCTTCTGTCTGTGATGTGTACACAGAGAAAGTGAAGGCAGCATTTATTGTGAGTGATCCTGTTGACTGGGGCAGAGATATCCAGGTAACTCTCTTGTTTGTCCTAGGAGACTGACTTTCTTTCACAATTGAAGCCTTAAAAGGAACTGAAGTAATTAAGTTTCATGCTGACACCTTTTTTCTCAAGGAACTGAAGCAATTAGGCTTTATGCTGACACTCTTTTTCTTAGTAACATGAGCAGATATTATTCCATGAAATAGCCTAACATTAATCAAATATGTCCAGCTAAATCAACCACCAAGAAATAACAAACTAGCTAGGGGGTGAGGGTATTGGGTAACTTAACAGTTTTAGGGACTCTTAACCTAGGCCCCTTTATCCTGTAACAACTCATCAAACCAATTTTTACAATCATACTGATGCTATTAGATGATTTAGATCTATGGTTTTCTCGAGCTTCACAACTAGCTAATGGACATCTTGCAAGGACCCCTTCGTATTTTGATTTGTTATTTCAAATTCTTTGGATCAGTGTCTTATAAATTCTTCCTATTGTGGTGTAAGCTTCATACTACATTATTTAAGAAGCTTATGTAAAACACACTCAAAGTTTGTTAGAGCAGAAATACTTCAAGAAGTTTGTCACAGCAAAATGAAAACAAAATAGGCTATTTGTCATTATCCGCATATCATTTTATATATTAGGTTGAATCGTCGATGCAGTAGTTTACTGTGATTAAGGTGACCTCTTGAAATAATATTATTTTAATTAACCTTATCCTGCACAAAGTACCATGTGAAAGGATATAATATGAGTGGTTTTTACAAGAACCTGAATCTATAAATGTATTTACAATTTACTCTAATTCCTCTTCATTCATAACTTGGTTCTTCCAAAATATTCTGTATATGCACATAAAGCTTGCCTCGCATTCAAATTAATCTTTGATGTAGATATTGCTGTGTACTATCTTCTGACCTTCGGATTTTAAGCTGTCTTTTTCAAGTCTTCCCATCAAAAATTTTGAATCCATGTTGCTTCGTATATTCTCTTTTCTCTGATTTCATGTCCTGAATTGGGTTATCTTGTGTTTAGGTTCTTTGTGATATTTTGAGAACTGGAGACCCTTCTGGACAGGAGAATGGAGTTCAACCAGCCTTATATTTTGCAGCTGATGATCTTGAATATCAGGTTGGTTTTTTTTTTTTTTTTTTTTTTTTTTTTTTTTTTTTTTTTTTTTTTATTGTTATTATTAATTTTTTTGCTGAACTTTTTCTCATTTGTATGTTTGGACTTAGGACAATATTAATGTTTGTCCGAAAATTTCTAAGAACAAAGTAAGACTAGATTTTTTATTTTATTTTTTGTAAAAAAATTGTAAGGTAAAAGATATACTAGCCTATGGAGATTTTCAGCTGTGGTTGACCTCAAAATAAAATGAATATATAGTCCTGCATAAAACAAAAGTGAGTTTTCCCATTTTCAAACAGTTTCAGATTGGCTACATTGATTCCAATTACCATTTAAAACTTTAGTCCATTTGATATTTTGTCAAGTTTTGTTGGGCTGCTAGGGCTTTGATACCATGTCAAGTTTTGTGTAAATGATTTTCCTTGGCTTGTATTGCTTATCAACAGAGTATATATGTTACAACCTAAGTGTAACCTAAAGCCCAATTAGGACTTAAGTACAAAAATCACAACTATACAATATATAGCCCAACATATTTATAGCCTATGATTATTACTCCCTCCGCTTATCGATAAGTTTAACATTGGACAGTGGAATGCATTATAAGGGCATTTGATTTTATTGAACTGAAGTTATATACTGTACTGAACTCATTGTTACTGATTAAATGAGAATTACTCCGTATTGAACCATCCAAATATTGATTAAAAATGATTTTTATAAGATGAAGAGAACATGACTGAAACAAGCCCAGTTGTCAGCTCTAATATTGAACAAAGAAAAATTAAATTTATTATTGGTTAATGTATCTCTTTGGTGGCAAAATGCCAAATTGTCAATGTTAGGCTGCATTTCCAGATAAACGTCTTGGTGTGGGGGCCTTTAAGATTGCACTGGAAAGTATATTCAACAGGTAATTTCTAAGCCTGCATTTCAGGTGAACTCTGAGAGATTTGTACACAATTATAATATGCTAGCTGTTTCTTCTCATATTGGCAGCTTGAGCTCTTTGATACTTGTTTCTTTTTTATTTGTTGAGTTTCTTTGTGGTCTTTGTGTTTTATTCTTACTAAATCTCTTATACGTGGGTTAATGATAGAAATTTGATTTAAAATGTTTTGTTGGACAAGTTTGGGAAATAAATTAGGCTTATGATATATCCTCGACCAGAAATAATAATGACACATTAGTTATATGGGTTATGTATTTTAGGGATGCTTGGTTTCTTAAAAATGTACTCTTCTGCAAAACTGTAGTTATTCAGTAATACACCCTCTACACTCTACAGTCTAACGTTATCCGCAAGAAGTTTCTTCATATGTATTAATGGTTTAATGGACATCCTGTCCTCTTACAAAAAAAACTAGTCGGTGAATTCATACTTAAATAAAACCCGGTCAGTAGATGTAAGCCATCAATGAGAAAATGAGCACGAACCACTACCAAGTGACGGTTGGATATAACTATGTTAAAATTCTCAATTAAGTAGCCAATATTAAAACTTTCTGATTCACATTAAGGATAATGTTGATTGAATCTTTCGAATCCATCAATATGAGGACTGAGGAGTTATGATTACAATGTGATTGTATATCCAGGAAGGAGTGTAGCTTATTGTAGACTAAGATTTAGCAAAGATAATACAGTAAGTGGCTAAAAAAGCTCTGTGTGCATGTGATCTGGGGCTGAACGAATCATGACCATCTTTTTATCAAGCACTTTTTATAAGGAACTAGAGTAAGGGGAACAGAGATGGTGCATGTAATTGGTGGTCAATGAACTACTTTATCAGCATGTTTAACCCTAAGAGCAAGTTGTAAATTACATTCTAGATCTTATGATATGGGATATCAAATTGATTGTTGGGTTATTTTGCTTCTCTTACATTGGGTGCAGAGTTCATCATACTCCACTTGAGTGTGTAATTTATGGAAAACCTGAGCCTATTGCTTTCAAGAATGCAGAAGCCACTTTAAACCAAATTCATTGCGATATGAATCATGAGTCTCTAGACAGTCACTTGAACAGAAATCAATCGAAGAATTACTTCAGTGCTCTTTACATGGTAGGTGATAATCCATCAGTTGACATAAAAGGTGCAAGACAGGTTAGTTTCTTGATCTATGCTATCGTTGGACCAGTAACCTATGTTACTTGAGCTGTTCATTTCCCCTTGAGTTCTTGTGTCAGATCCTCGACACTCTGATATGTGTTGGACACTTAAAGACTCTTTAATATGGAGCAAAACCATAGAAGTCTTTCACATAATAGCCGAGTTTAACACTCGGATACATACTCATGTAGGATACTAGTACCCGAGTCTGAGTAACGTAGCCAGTGACCTTCCATTTTCTTCAATCCTGCATTTTGCTGAATTCATTTATCTTGCCAACTTTCAGGCTGGAGATCCTTGGATATCTGTTTTGACCCGAACAGGTATGTTCCACGGTAAAGGAAATCACCAAGAATATCCCGCAGATCTGGTAAGTTAAATGAGTCACATCATGTAGAGATGTGTACGAGGGATTATTGGTGTAATGGAAATCAAGTTTGTAATTTTGATTTGGCTAATTTTTTCAGGTTGTGGATACAGTGGAAGATGCTGTTGATTTCATTTTAGAGAAAGAGTTCTCTTCAGGCCAATCAGGGTGTTCATCTGGTTAATGTTAGCATTACAAAGCTTTTAAGAAGCATGTACTAGCAACAGACTCAGAGCATACTACCATTCTTTTTGATTCATATAGAAATTATACCCAATTTTAGAATTGTATCATCTGTAGTTCTCTCTCTCTACAGCAAGGATGTGAAATTCTCCTATCAAATCTGTAGGATTACAGGTGATTTTATACGTTTAAATTTTTGTTAGACTATTCAATTTGATAAATTGGTTGTATCTGATATTATTGGTTTTAAATTCATTTTCACTGAACACAAGTTTCTCTTATACAATAATACAATATGAAGTACGGAGTACAATATAAGATTCTTTTGTCTTTAATCAGCAAATACAGTGCAAAAGTCATTTTCATAACTCAAAGAATCAGGAATTTCTAGGGTGTTACATGTAAAGAAACTTAGGAACAATTAAAAATAGAAAGTGCAAAGAAAAACAGAAAGTGCAAAGAACTTTAAAAAATAGAGGTAGTATAAACATATAAGAGTTCAAGTTAATATGAATTTGACATAATTAAATAATGTTTTTTTTCCTTATGCATTCATTGTAAAAATATGACCAAAATTAAGTCAAACTAGCACACTAAATTAAACATCACCAAATTCGTAATATTTCGACAAATTAAACTAAAGTTTAATACTGAGTAAGATTATAACATACATCTCATTTCAAGAGAACAAATGAGACTCGGGCCTTTTGAGTAAGATCAGAACAAACACGTGTAATTTCAAGAGAACAAATGAGATCCGACTGTTTTGAGTAAGATAAGAATAAATACTTGTAATTTCAAAAGAGCAAATGAGACCTGGTGGTTTTATTTAGGGATTTGTTAAACATCGCCCGCAAATCTCCACATAAAGCCCACAAATTAGACATGGTTTGACAATTTTGCCCATTTCTAAAATCGTACCCAAAGTGAACAAATCTCGATCTAACAAATGTGGAGTAGTACTGGGTTGCCCAAGGAGACTGGAGGGGAGGCCGGAGAGGCGAGGGACGCCGGAGATACGTCGTCTTCGACGGAAAACGAGTTGGCGCCTAGTTTGGACGCCGGAACCATGGCAAGGACGTTCAGGCAAGGCGCCACAACCAGTGCACTAGCGTCCAACCCAGGCGCCTCAACCAGTGCACAGGCGTCCAGACCAGGTGCCACCACCAGTGCACTGGCGTTTCTGCCAGACGCCGCCGTTACCGTTTAATTTTTTTTTTTTTTTTTGCCTTTTTTTTTGTTTTTGTTTTTTTCTTTTTTTTTTAAATTGAAAATCTGGAATTCTATTAAAAACAGTTTTTTTTTTTTTTTAAATTATGTTTAATAAATTTATGTTTTGATTTAGAATGTGGAAATTTATGTTTTTTATTTGATTTTATAAAAAATATATATACTAGACTTATAAAAAATAACACATAAAATTAATAAATATTAAAAAAAAATCAAACACATTTAAAAAAAATAGACATAAAACAAAATTATTTAAAAATAACACAAATTTTCTGATTTTCCAAAAAAAAAAAAGATTAATATATATATATATATATATATATATATATATATATATATATATATATATATATATATATATATATATATATATATATATATATATATATATATATATAAGGCAGGTGGGGCGCCTGGCGAGGACGCCCACCCACTGGCGGTGGCGCCAGATCCGGCAGCCAAAGCCAGTGGGCAGGCGCTTGGTTTGGACGCCTCTACCGTTGGCTGGGCTTCCAAGCCACACGCCACGCCACCACTAGTGGGTGGGCGTCCTAGCCAGGCGCCCCACCTTCGCCGCTTATTTTTTTTTTTTTAAAAATAATTTAAATCTCCACCTTGCCACTAAGTCGCCGCCTTTCCTCCGTCGCCGCCGCCGCCACCTCTTTCCCTTGCCGCCTCGACAGAGGTAGATCTTCTGATTTTTTTTAGAGAGATGTAGTGAGTGGTTTTTTTTAAAAACGAAAAGGGCAATAAGGTCACTTCAATACAGATTTGTGGGCTTTATGTGGAGATTTGCGGGCGATGTTTAGCGATTCACTTTATTTAATATAAGAACAAACACGTATCATTTCAAGATAGAAAATAAGACTTGACTGTTTTGAGTAAGGTAAGACCATACACGTGTCATCAATCAATATAACATAACATAATACTAAAACAGACACCAGGAATGACACGTGTCATTTTCTGGTGCTGTTTTTTCTCTCCAAAACTCCTCCCACCTCCCTTTTTAGCAAATAAAAATTGGAATATTTGTATATAATAATATAACTATAATAAAATTATTCCAAATCTTTAATATTATCTTTACATAAAATGTATATCTTTTTTTTTCTTGTTTAATTCTTCTATACACATTTACCTAAAATATTATTCTAACTCTTTTTTAACTATAGAAAAAGTGAGCCACTGGTTCAAGTACGAGATACTATCATTACCGCCTGGATATCTTGTAGACGGATAGTTATTGAATTTTGCCCAAAAAGTAATAATAAAATTGATTCATATAATTGATATTAAAGAAATTACTTTAAAACATCACTTTTATAATAAATGTGGTGTTCGACAACTATACAATGCTCCGTATGTATAATTCTAGGAAAATGTGAAAAATTAATCAATTTTTTGTTATTACGCAATTAAATAAATTAATATCTTAGTAAATACAAAAAAAAAAAATTATTACCTTTTGTTGAAATATGTGATTGAGATAATAAATTTATTACATTCGACATTATTAATAAGATGCATAGTAAAAAACACGTCGGACATAGTAACAAGTGACATCTTCTTGTGTATCCTTTTTTTCGATAAATAGTTATCATCTACAAATAAACTTTTAAGGCAATAAACAAACAACGATCAAACTACAATTATTGGATAGCTTCAAACATATTTTTATATAATAACAAAGAGCGACGATATCATGTAGAGCATCAATTCATAAATAGAAAATGTACTATTAATAATATAGGTTAGTGTTGCCTAATTGTTGATTATTATTGCCTTTAATGATCCGAGTACTATTTATTTCAATTGAAATTATTTTATTGGATAAAAAAGTGATGTGTTATTTGTAATTTATATATTTAGGCCCCGTTCACTTCACTTTATTTTGACTGAACTGAAATAATTTTTGCTTAAGTGAAATTATTTTTGCTATACTTAAATTGTTTTTACTAGACTGAATTAATTTTACTGAACTAAAATTATCTTTACTGATTTTCTATTATATTTCTTCTTTAAAGTTACTGAATTTACTGAACTAAAATTATTTTTTACAGAATTCTACTTATTTTTACTGAACTGAAATTATTTTTACTGAACTGAATTTATTTATACTGAACTGAAATTATATTGAATAGAAATTATTTTTACTTAATATTTTTTTTAAGGTAAAGTGAACAGGGCCTTACAATCTTACATGTATGTTGTGCTAATTGTTTTACAGTAGATTTTATATAAATAAGTCTTTAGTCATATAGTCACTAGATTGTATAGTTTTATTGGGAATAATATGCATCATTAATGTAATGTAATGTACACTACTTTTAAATGTTTTCAACACAACATATCAACAATAATTTTTTATTCTCAATTGCAGTTTTAATAATTTTTTCCTTATTTTATTTTATTTTTTTTTATTTGCATTGCATTTGTTTATTCTACATGACTTGCCTCATTTTTACGTTATGTCACAATTAACTATGGGAAAAAGATTATTACTACCGTGCATCGCACTGGCACTAATCTAGTAACATAATACTAAAACAGACACCAAAAATGACACGTGTCACTTCTTGGTGTTGTTTATTTCCCTCCAAAACTTTTTTTTTATTCACTTCCTTCCAAAAAATATTCCTTGTTTATATAATTGTGATTCACTTTCTTAAAAAAAATATTCACTAAATAATATAATTGTAATTCACTTTCTAAGAAAATATTCACATATTTTCCATATCTTTTATTGTATAAGATATTATTTAACAAGATATTATATCAAGAAAAAATAATTAGAATGTAATGCAATCTTTCACTCCCAAATTCAGTAAAACTATTACTTAGTGATAATTAACCATACATTATTATTATTATTATAAACAAAATCGTAATTTAAAATTAAAAATTAAAATATATACATAAGACGTATGGGTACAACTTAAAATTTCTATTGAAATAATGTATAGAATATGAATACTTTATTGTATACTCCCTCTGTTTTTTTTAAATGCATCAGTTTGACCAGCACATTTGTCAAGACGTAATTTTGACCATTAATATCTTTAATTGTTTTTTAAATAAAATTGTAACAAAATTATATTATGAAAGTAGACATTGTGACGAATCTAACGATATACTCCCTCCGTTTAAATACTTGCTCCACTTTCCATTTTCGACCGTTTTTAAATACTTGCTACATTTCCTTATTTGGAAAACTTTTATAATATTTAATTCATTTATCTCAACTAATGGACCCAACATAAATCATATTTTATTAATTTCATATTCTCTCTCCTTCAATTCTCTCAACTAGTTTTGCTTTTTACAATTTTTTTATTCTTCCACCTACCCCACTACCTCCATATTTTATTACTTTTTCCAATTTCTCCTAAAATTCCGCGCATAGAGAAATTGAGCAAGTATTTAAAAACGGAGGGAGTATCATATAATAACCTTATTGACATGTGAATAGTTCAAAAGTCAAACTGATGCATTTGAAAAAAAAAAACGAAGGGAGTATTTTATAAAGAGAAAAAAAAATTATATAAAAAAAATTTAAACTACATATTATTATAAATCTTATAATATTTGGTAAAACCGTGCGTTGCACGGGATTTAAGCTAGTTTCAAGAGAATAAGTGAGACATAAGACCAAAATTAACACGTGTCATTTCAAGATAACAAATGAGATGTGACTGTTATGAGTAAGATCAGACCACTCACGTTTTCTTTCAAGAGAACAAATGAGACCTGACTCTTTTGAGTAAGATCGGAACAAACACGTATCATTTCAAGAGAGCAAATTAGACTAGTTTCTTTTAGACTTGCTCATCAATGTTTCTATTTATTTCACTTCAGCTTCATCTAGTCCAATCTAATTCAATTTAATACAACTCTATTATTTTCATTACCAAGTACGAAACAGTATTTTAGTGTCCAATTACGATAGATCGATTCAGATTAGTTCAATTCAAAAGAACAAACGGGTAATAAAATCAATTTCTCCCTGAGAGAGAAGGTGAAATGCTACATCTCCTTGCTTAACCCCACAGAAATGTCCAATGCACAAGTC